ACCTGTTCATAAGAAGGGAGAGGAAAAGTGGGCAATTTGTCGTGTGCGTAAGTACATGAGTAACAGAATGTGAACAGAACAATCAAGGGGAAAGAACTCGGATGCATGTTTCTGAGTTGTTGGGCGAAAGCCACCTGTCTCGTCAGCAATAAACTGCGGTGAAACAGTGGCCAGTGATTTTCGCCCCCACGACAAACACAAAGTATGGCGCTGGAACCATTTGTCTGGGCGGTCCAGCATATCAGTCGACATATCTGAACGAGAATCTAAAAGATAAGGAGTAGGTAAAGGTTATGCATACGCCTCGGAATACAAAGTAAGCTTTAGCACTTAGGAGTGAGGTAATGGGAGTCGGCATATAAATGATGAGACGATTTGATGTACAGACGGTTACGGGGAATTCCAAGGGCAGGCTCCACAGCAATACGACTAAGCGTATTTTTGCATCTTTGGAGTCAGGCGAGTGTGCTGTCCACCAGATATGGGCTATCCTACCACAATGATACCGATTATATAACGGAAAGGAAGCTGTCAAACACGTAGTTCTCACCGTTCCAAATTAAGAGCTATTTCATCCATAAAATAATACTTAGAAAGAGACCCCACCTATATTTGTTCTTAAGCTAAAATCAGTTTCACCATCTTGAAGGCGCTAGGGTCTTACAGAGCCATACTTGAGCGCCTCTGCCGTAAGGCATCTATCTACGAGAGGACTGGATGTCTTTTAAACCTAAAAGCAGGTCGACAGGGCGCTTAAACTGCGACAGAGAGGTGCTGCTGCGTGCAGTCATGGGGAGCATATTCCAGGTCACGCTGTAATATGTAGCAAAGAATTTACATCTGACCGGTTTATCACGCCTGTCCGTTGCTAAAGGGAGTGCATGATTTCTAGGGTCATATGGTGGTGCATATCCTTAAGAAGTTGGGGTGGAGCATCATGGCAGACCATGAAAAGTTTTGTACAACAGGACTAAGTTGCGCCATAGATGCCGTTTCCATGTCGGTTCAGTGGACAGCACAGTGCACTTATCTATATAATCTAAATCACCGGCACTACTCAGTAGTCATCTGGTGGAGCGTCTTTGGGGATATTCAAATCGTGATTCTTCAGTTTTGTTCATACAAGAAAAATGAACGAGCCATATTCCAACATCTGTCTAACGAAAACCCTAAGAAGAGTGATTTTGGCCTCTTTCGTATTAACACTCTTCAGGAGGAAGCTTGATAGTCTTCTAGCTGTAGACGCGATAGCTGTGACATGCGTTATCGAGTATTGGAATTTCATGGCCTCTTAAGTGTAGCTTGCTGCTAGGATAATATTTTTTGAGGTACAGAATTCCATGTTTTTCTTGATTGAGCCGAAGTCGCCGTTTCTGACTCCACTCAAGCAGGTTATCTAAATCCACCTGAGGTGCTGACAGAACTTCAGTAATTAGGCCGTACTGAGACCCGCAAACAGTCCTAAGGTCTTGTGTGAATCATATTAACGGAAGAGTATTGTGTGCTACTCACCATTGCCAGTTTACTGGTCACATAGAGTGATGACTTCTTGATTACGTTTTACTCCCCTCATGTACTGATATGGTTTTGTCCACTATTTGTGACCAGTGATATCTAAGCAGTCGCATACCCTAGAAGACCACGTAAGCATGGCGATTTGTTCGTTTCAAATTTTCTCGGCTCCACTGATGACAGTAACGCTAAAATATCTCGTGTTACAGTGACATGCTCTCGTTAAATTCACCATTCGAAATGAATCGCTAAAGTCTGTTGTATTTACATTGCAGCACTTCACTATGCGACCGGTCGGGGGGGGGGAGTTGGAGATTTCAGCGAGAAGTCGGTATCCACCCGCCCAGAATGTCTCCAATGTGAACCCTGACATATGAGAGGATAGGAGAACTACTTTGGTCAAGCTTAGCCTGGGGTCACCATAAATTTTCGGCATCTACGAGAGGTTTAGTGTTATTATTTCAGTAAGTTTCGTGTTCTCCTCAACGAAGTTACACTTGCAGAAGTTGTAGTACATGTTGCCTGCCTTCCGGAGGCTCTCAGATTCCTCCTCCAAGAGTGGACCTCACAGCTACTATCCAAGAGCTTCTTTGCAGCCCTGCTCTGAGAGCGTGGAATATCACGTGATGTTCCTACACCCGTCTCAGCCTTTGGCCCCCGGGATACTATCAGAACACTACACAAGCTGGAGAATGTCAACTTCGCATTGGTCAGTTGCTACAGAGCAGCAAATTTCATACTCGGTGGCCCTCGACACTGACCGAACCAAACCTGTCACCTTGCAAAGTGGCCACTAAGCCAACAGGCTCGCTACTGTGGTACGCTGTCGTGGGTGGTAGTTGGCTTAAGACGGTAGGCACGGGGCCATGAATCTGGGTTTGGCACTTCTTGGGACACTTCAATAGGGTGCATCTTCAACCTGAAAGTAACAGATATCCCCTCAGAGTTATGAACCTACATCACTTACTGTAGCAGTTGGCTACGCTTACACTCAGCTTCTACGTAATGCGACTGATCCCTTGCCGGACTTCAACACTGAGTGGCGCCGCTTCCTTTGGTGTTCCAGATTAGTTTCACCAGCGAGTGCCAAAGCAAGGATAAAAATTAGCATAGGATTGGGGCAGACTTAGCGAACTCGAAGCTCAAAAGGAGTACTCCTGCTGGAAAGCGAACATTTTCTCTGGTTTGGCAAGACTTCATAGTGGGACCGAACTGGGAACCCCTGAATACCAGTGAGAAAGCATAATTGTTGAGTAGCTCAAATGACGGGCAGCCCTTCTCAGTAATACATCTACCAACACATTCACCAATGAAACGAAATTCCAGGGCTGCTACCCAAAACTGATGAACGTAAAGACTTCGCTAAACCAGTTGCGAAAGTTTCAACAGCCGGAATGCGAAAATCTCCAGACGGTGACAGTGTAATACCGACGCGATAAGCTTGTCCATGTGCAGTCTGTTGACCCGAATGTTTGAAGTAACCCAGCTCCGAAGGTGTTTGAAGTGGGTTTTCAATCTTCAAGGGGGGAAACTTAAAAAGCCATGCATTTGCGGGGCGAAAGCGTGGCTTCTTATACCATATGAGGTACTGGAAAGCCTAGTTGCAGACGCTGTTTAGGGCTTAGCGAATGGAAATAATACCGTTCATCCCCCCAACACGAGTTGAGAACCGGACAACCAAGTGCTGCAAACTTGATAACCACTTCGGGCGACTAAAACAATGGATGGGGCAACACGTGACAAGTTCTCGTTATCTTTCTGAAATTGACTGAAGCCCTAGATGGCATCCCAAACTACACCCTGTTCATTAACTTAGAAAAACTGTGTCACTGAACCACTCATATCGTGGTTTACTGCATGCCTGAAGGACAGGAAATTCTGCACTAACGTCAACAGAATCAACTCGACGTGGGACAGTTCGAGAACAGGAGTTTCCCAAGGAGCTGTTTCCATGCCGCATCTACTTTTACTGTTCACAAATGACTTCCCCATTCAAGTTTCCGCGTCTATCCTCCTAATTGCAGGGGATAACAGGTAGTGGAGAGGATCCTAGGATACTCTTAGACAATCATCTACAGTAAGAGTACTGATCACTTGAAGATGATTCAAGCTTTGGCCTGCAAAAGTGCAGGGCGAAATGTCTTCGCAGACCGGGAGCGATGAAAATAGGCTGAATCCTCAATAAGTCCGCAGTCACCAGGGTATCCACTGAGAAGAATCCAATACGAAATTTCTCTGACAGACAGCGTAGTAGAGTCAACTGCAGGGGAACGGTGACAGGAGTGAACGCCATCATGCACTTTCATGGGAGGGAGCTTGGAGCTTTAACCCCCGTGTTGTTCCACTTGGTATCTAAAACCCATGCTGCATCACATCTATGTATGTTCAACACGACAGCCCCTTTCTACCAAAGAGTGACGCAAGTATTCTCGAGAGGGTACAGAGAATGGAGACAAAGCCAGCTACCATAATGGCAGGCAAAATGCATGCATAGCATATTAGCTCACCTTGTTCCCCTTAAGGAAAAGAGGCTACTTACTGATGGCCCACAAGATAATTCATCAAGCAGACCACCCCAAAAGGACAGGATAATCGGTCCAAAACCTACAGTCACGCGGGAAAGCCGCTTGCATACCCCGCACGAATGAGATGAGGAGATTGAGATACAACTTCTCTCGCAGGTCATGCGCCTTACGGAACGCTTTTCTGGAAGAAGTAGACACAACCATCTTAAAGGACGCTTCAAACAAAGCCGGATACGTAGGTGAGCTCAGAAGGCTTGCCACAAACATTTGCCAGTAGAAAATGAAAGTATGCTCATGCATCCCTGTACCACCACACCTTATAATCTACAACAAAACCCATTCCTTCTGCAGTCTTATACTAGTGATACTTATCCCTAGTGAGTAATTTTCACACCTCGTTTCCCATTCCCTACTCACCATATTTCTTGCATTACTTCCTAAAAAACGCCCAATGCTCACCTGCAAGTGCTTACAAAAACAAGAGTTGCGAGTCATATTGATCTTGCTAGCAGCCCTTTTCTTGCCCAAAGAAATGAACCCACGATTTTCAAGAGAAAACCTTCAATCAGTTAGTCACAACTTCCAAAGCTCTGAGCACATAAACCGCAAAGACTTCTGCTACCAAGCAGAGACTTGAGCCTCAAGACCCAGAAGCGAAAGATCAAAAGCTACGAATTTCACATGTTGGCACTATTGCTGTTAGAAGTTATTGGAATCAAGCTTCGTTTACTTACACACCAGTAAATTTTGTGGCAATTTTATCTGCAAGCAGTTTGCTTATTATGTTGCCACTGAGGGTACTGGATGGGAAGTGAAAAGACTCTTCGTGACGCAGTTTGGCGTCTCTGTCACACATGGTCGTTAACTGGCTCTGCACTGTTAGTAGAAGATTTTGTAGGCTATGTTGTTTGAATGCGTCAAATTGTCCTTGACAATTTTGACTCTCAAGTCAAGATGTTCTTCACTTCACGCACTTGTGAGTTAAAGAAAGTATGTCTTCTGGATCGAAAGAACCAAGATATTTAAAATTCAGTTTGTTTATAATGTATGTTTACTTGAGATGTTTATGAATCATGGGCAAACAAATGATTAGATTGTTCAAGAAGTAATACATAAAATCTTTTCGACTAAACCCAAATCGTATAAATACCTGGAACTGAGATTTCATTTCTACTCGCGCTTATTGCATCTGTTTTCAGACTTATTCCTCAGAATTTTATTTGTTCCCCCTCTCTCGAATCATCCCAGCCAGCATTGTTTTAAAGCAGTGTTTCGGGCGTTATTCCAATGTAATTTCAGCTCATTTACCAACTTTAGTAACGATTTTAAGGACCAAAAGTTTCTATATAGTTTGAAGAACAACTTCGGGGCGTTGTTCCTCAAGGTTTGTATTTTATGATCAGAGCTGGCATAGAAGTCTATTTGCCACTTTCCTAATTAGCACTTTCGATATGTACATATATACATAGGTAAATGCACGTATATGAAGCTAATAGGTGAACATTACTGACGTTAAGCTCGGGTTTCTCTATGTTGTGTAACCACACCCAGACATGTATCTACTACTCACATTGGTCTGGCATATGTTTTGTAGCGAGTTTTGCAATTCACGACCACCCATACTTTGTTTATGTAGGTCCCAAGAGGCATTATTCCTCCGAATTCACTTTCAGTACTTGACCATACTGTATATATGATTTCAAATCAGTTTCGCTGGTATGCGTGGCTCAGCTACAGCATTACTCTTGATCTCATGGGTTTTCCTGGAGTAATGCAGGACTAAGCATCTGCAATCGGTCGACTTATATTCTGAAAAAATTCACTGAAGGTTTGTAAACCACGATACCTTTGTAGTCCCACTTCCCCTGTCAAGTTGCAAACTATTGAATCTTTTAGGAACCACTACTTTAAGGACTTAATAATACTCTCAAACGGAAAACGGATATTCACACTATTGCAAAATGAAAAAAAATTATTATGGTTCATCTGACCTGCGGTCCTTATTTCTGAATACTCACTAGTGAAGTATCTATTTTTTTAAAATCATTATGAAGTATTAATAAAGTCCAGCTACATATGCTGCCCGTACTCAGTTCATAATTTCTAGACGATCAAAGAAGCAATGAAAGCCCTTAGAAGTTTTAGCGAAAACATTTGATTTAGCCTATATTCATCTCCGAATAAATTTTGCTAATAAACCAACTTGTATACCTTTACACACCTTCTCTAGTTCTCTGTTCCTTTAAAACGTATTTGTAGAAAAGCCATTCTAAACGAGATTCCGTATCGCGTTTACATTAAAATTTTTGTTCTCTCATAAAGGATTTCGAGATTTAAGAGTTAATGTGTTCCTATGTTTTATCAAGAGTTCAAATTTATCATTGAAGGAGATTGCTTTACAGCCCAAGTTTTAGATGTTGCTCCATCAGGTAACTAACTTGTCTGGTAAAGTGATCATTCTAAATTGTGTTGATCTAACTTCATGATATCTTTCAGGTTACTGATTAAATAATTTTCGTAGTCATTTTGTGGTTCAGGCTGAACGTAATTGAGAATTAGTGCATGTTCGAGTAACTGCACCGTCTCTATCAAGCAATCAGTTTGGAACACAAATAACATCGGAAGTATCTGCGAACATTACAGGTATCAGTTTGCATAATGAAAGTGCTGAGGTTTATAGCCTCTGCTAATCTGCCTCATTTGAGTTTGGTCTAATGCTTTACTTAAATTAAAGCTTTAACTTTTCAGAAACCATAAAAGTTAACTATAGAGTCTATTTCACTAGCTAACAACGAACAAATATTCATTACACCTTACTATCTTTGCACATGATTTCGGAACTCATGTACGGGGAATAAACTCAGCAAAGTTTTGTGAAGTGCAAAGTGAAATGAATATGCACAGGCAATGTTTTTTGTCCATATCATTTTATTCACGAAAACTAAGTTTTCTTGATACTTGAAGATCCATATATTCGTCAACTTGTTGCGTCTGTGTAGTTGTGTATTATGTGGAATTTATGCTACTTGTTATCTTGGTTTTGAATTGTGTTATATATATATATATATATATATATATATATATATATATATATATATATATATATATATATATATATATATATATATAGTGGAAATAAATTTGGCGAGACGATAAGATTATCTTATGGCTTAAAAGCCAGCTACTTACAACAAAGTTGACCACCTTGCTAAAAAGTGGGAAAAACTTTTATCAAACATTCTTTTCCTGCTGTTTGCTTTATTACCTGAGGTTTATTGACCAATATTGTTAAGACTACATGGTCTTATTCCCAATTTTCTAACTGATATGCTTTTCTTTTTATTTATCAGTTATTCCAAAGGCCGACAGTTGGTACATGGGTACCGTATTTTCATTTTTATGTGCACTTATTACCTTCTTCTTCTGTGTTACTGATCGTGAAACAGAAAAGTATTTCTCAGGTTTATCATCAAAAACAGCATACCGCTTTTGTGGCTTAAAATCCTATAGTAATGAAGTCCCTGATGATTTTAAACGATGTTCCTTGGTACATGTTAATGCGTTATTCAGACATGGAACTAGAACACCGAATGCGAAATCCATCATCGCTTTTGCTGATGTTTACAATCGCTTAAAGAAAAGGTGGTTTGATTTTATCCTTTCATATCAGTTAGTTTGTTTCTTTGCTTGTCACTTTTGAACCATGTTGCTGTGCCTCATAGGTTTTGACAGCTGACTTTCAACGTCAGCGTCACGGGTGCGAACTTGACTCCACATACCGAGGTTTTGGCAGCCATGTAGTATCATTAGTCCTCGCACAATAGGTGTGGTTCACTGCCTACTGAACGAATGTGCACAAGGTTGCTGACTGCATTTCGATTTCTTTCCGATTGTGAATTATCTCTAGACAGGTTATGTTCTATCGATAGATCATCACAAAACTTGGTTGAGGACAGTATAAAGGACGTTTCCATTGTCTAGCAAGAGAATATCATACTACTTCTTACTAACTTAATATTTTGAAGCATCCACCTCACTTTTTAAAATACTTTTTTCTGCACAAAAGTTACTCTGAAATATTGTTATCACCAGCTGATTAAGGGATAAAATATTGTTTTCTAGCGCACCAAAAAAGTGTAGAAACAAATCTAAATCGATAAGGAAATATATTTTACGAAGTACTGATAGATTAACTGAGTAGTTGTGAAAGTAAAACAACGTATAACTTCACATGTCAGTCCAGTGGCTTCTATGGCCGAATTTTGATAACACAATAAGCGAAAAGTCAAAGAACAAAACTAACTCCAATGAATGAGAAGAAGCGTATTAGTTAACGGGGATATGAAAGGATCGATATGAACCGGATTATTCTCAAATTTCGCACTAGCTGTGGTCAATACTAGACTGTTAAAACGGTGAACGTGTTCAGGTGTGTTTTCCGTTTACTGTATATCGCAGTTGGTATTTGTCGAGCCTAACGTCAGTGTTAGACGTCAGGCTAATGTGGCTATAGCTGATTGGGATGGACAGTTGATTTTCGACCATTTGGTCATGGGTTCCCACCATACTTCACCTCCTGGCTACTAGTAAAGAGTTGGCATGACTAGCCTCCATAAAACAGGCGGGAATTGTAACCTAGTTCATGTGTGTAGCTGCTGGGTATCGTTTTATTTTGTTATGGTGAATCCTAAAATTCTACATTTTAATGCACTTTATAGGTTTAGTATATATGACTGACTTCCTGAAGATGTTACCATACAGAACCTCGGTTAAAAGTGTCATTTATAAACGCCACAAACGTAGAGGGAGCTCTCAAAAGGAGTGAAATAGTGGGATAAAACTAGTAAACAAAAGGGTGAGTGCTAATTGTAGGTATTTCTAAATAAAATATTCTACAGGACTGAGCTTATAGCCTGCAGTCTCGTTTCTCACCTAGTATATCAGAGGTTTAAGTTTGGTTCACACACTTAGGTTTCACAACCATGTACTATTGCTGACCATCACATAATAGGTTCTAGCGCATATTCCAACTTCTAGGGTAATGAACTCATCAGAAATGTTGAGATAAATAGCATAAGTGAATCTAAGCTACTTCAACAACCTGCTGCCAACATTTTATGTAATTCATTGAAAAGCCTACGACGACATCCGTAAATCAAAAGTAACGGGCAAGAAAGAGCACTGGGTACTTTTTGTGTTTTAAAAGACAAGTTTAAGTTGATTTCCCGTGTATCTAGAAGAAAGCTTTACATTCCATTATTTTAGCTATCAAAATGGATCTCCGATCCCCCATGAGCTTTTCGCACATCCAGTACCATTCCAAGGTTCTGCCGTAAAAGAACTTTTACCTACAGGATTCGAAGAACACGATGGTTTGGGTCGACGTTTTCGTAAACGTATGAAACAGTATTTCAGCTTTACAGATGATAATGTTCATATATACTCTAGCTCGTTAAATCGTTGTATTGCTAGTGGAAGAGCATTTTATAATGGTGTGAGTTATGCATTTAGATTTTTTTGAATCTTTTAGTTCACCCTTTTTTACTAAGCGGTTTCGCTGTTTATTACAGGTATAAAGATTTGTGTCATTTTGCATCCTACCTGAAAAATTAATGCAATATTTCTGCACAAACTGAGGCTAATCTCCCGTCCTTTACAGATCACTGTGTAGAACCTTTGCTTATTACCATACCTGCTGCCAGCGATATCGGACTACTCATGGAAGGAAGAGTATACTGCTTTACAGTCCGTTCTATCTTGCTATACGGCTGTGAGACATGTCTCCTGAAAGTCGATGTGAAGAGACTACAGGTTTTTAACCATAGATATCTTCGTAACATTGCTCGCGTATGATGGAATCACGGTGAAAAATCGGGGTTAGAAGCAGAGCACTAAGCAAGGCAGGCAAGTCAGTTGATGAGGTTGTTAATCTTCAGTGACTAAGGTAGCTCGGACACGTGTTGTCCATACTTTGCCACCCCCTACCTGGATGTGCAATGCTACGAGGAGTTGGATTAAGTTGAAAAAAGAGCTCTGGGTAGCCAGACTAAGATGTGTCACCAGTCTATGAAGTTTATGACTCTTCTTCTTATCCCTATATTGAGATGTAGACTACTTGGCTAGTGTCCCTCAGACCATACGAATCAATGGTTGAGGACTCTTGATGAAATGACTGGAAGTAGCTCACAATGGCACAGATACACTTACTTTATTAACGTCGTCTAAAGCTTAAATGTTTTCATTTTCTACTCCCTTCTCCCATACCCAAATGTCTAATTCAAAGTCAGTTTTTTTTAAACTGCTTGTTTTTTGCCTGCTACTGTAATGTATGGCAACTTGAACTAACTCACTTCTGTGCGAGGTTCTTCCTTTGATTTGCCTGTCTTTCATGTTCACTTAGACGTTCATCTACATATATACACATTTGAAAAGGGCATACAGTACCCTGTGTGTTTAAAGTTAATAATTTTAATGTTACAGTGAAAAATATGGTGTGATAATTGCCTTAAGTTTAAATCAGTGTTTGTTGACCGCCAACCAGTGATTTAGAAGAATTGTATTGTGTCCCTCAGTCGTAAATTAACTTGACCCCACTTAATCTCAAACCACGGTTTTTAAGTAAATTGCTCGATTAAGCCAACAGTTAGGCGCTTAATTTTACAAAGTCACTTTTTTAAGAGGTGAATTCTCTGGTCTGTGGATTGGAATAAATAGGAAATGAAGTCAAACAGTCAAAGTGGATTATTGAGCTAAATTATAAATCGCTGAATAGTGTTATAGTGTTTGTCAATCTGTTTACTCAATAAATGCAATAAATGCTTATTTCTCATTGTTATTATTTTTTTCTGAAAATCTTTCTATTACAATCAGTTGATAAATGGACCACAAATTCAGCCAATATGGAATCGTACCATGTATTGTGGTGATGAAGAATTTCCGAAAAGTTGTTTACTCAATGAACCAATCGATAATTCCACTCATCAAAAGAATATCACCATTAATGATGAACTGTTGAGATTTTTTGCCCAGTGTAAAAATTATATTGAAAAAATTGAAAAAAATAAAACAGCATCTATAGAATATTATCGATTTTTAAAGTCAAGTTATGTCAATATCTCCTATGAAAAGTTTTTACAACGATATAAACTTAACAAAGAAGACTATACACCAGGTAATTATTTCTGGTAACCATAATGCGTATCCAATCAGTTTATAAAGATTGATTCAGTAGTTATTCTTTGACTTATCCTTATTTTGACGTTAAATTATCAGGTTACTTGTACCTTATTGTGCTATTTTGACCTAGTGCTTAGGTTTCCGACTACCAACAGGTATAAACTATAACTCGCCTACTTCGGTGGTATAATTAACTGTCATCTCCACAGATAGCAACAGAATCCTTCTACAATTATTATATGCAGATAAGTTTAGGAAGCTGCAAAAATTTAGTATATCACAGACTGAAGTGCAATACTTCTGCTTGTATAGAAAGTCAAAGCGTGAATAGCATTTTCCTCTGAAGAGATCAAAATTCAATTTTTAATAGTATTGGAGTTGTGTTACTATTTGATAGCAACAGTGGTCCCCCGGGTGATAAATACATGCGTAAACAACAAGTCATTTAAAACTCACTAGGGTAATAATGATGTAATCAGCTGTGCTACAGTTTGTATGCTATTATTATTATTATTATTATTATTATTATTATTATTATTATACATCATTATCATTAGTTCTACATCGTTGAAGATTACTAATAGGATCCTTTCAAAAAATTTCAGTGCCTTTGTATTCTTTGTGTAAACTGTCTTTTGTGGTTCAGCTGTGTAGATGGTCGATATTCAGGCATTCAGTTATTGAAGTTGTATTTTAATCCGATTACATCAATTTGTGTAGCTTAGTAGTAACAGGTGAGAATTATAGCATTGTTACCTTTCAATCTAAATCAATGCTGAACTGTTATACATTGCAGTACATGTGTCTGATAGCTAAAACATTAGTGAGTTTAATGACATGTAGTTGATGAATCTGAAGTTAAAAAGGTGTGTTGGTCAGTTCATCAGGTTACATTAGAGAATGTTTCGACTATTTGTTTCGGTTTGTTTTTGAATAACTGTTTATTTTCAGTCCACTTTTTAGATATATATGTTTTCTGTTCTTTCGGTTAATTATATAAACGAAACAGCAAGATTTTTTTTACAGTTCATGTGCATGTTTATGTTGTTTAAAAATGAAGGATAAGCAATCTTTGTAGAACAGTGCTTAGCTAACTAATATTTCGCTCAAATATATATATATATATATATATATATATATATATCACTCACTGATTTCTTTCTAAAATAAACAAATTTGGATGCTAAATAAACTGAACTTTACAAATATTTAAAGTGTACGTTTTAAGGATAATTAGAACTGATCAAAAAATTCTTCCTGTCTTTCGGTGAATTTGTTTTATTTAACTTTAAAAATGCTAAATGTTATCCATGTTGTTATTACTAAAGATTTTAGTAGTTATTGATAATTTGAACAATATTTTTAATCGTACCTTACCTGATTGATGTATGATACCAATTGAGAATTTAACGGGGAAGATGTTTGTTTGTTATAACTATTCAATTTGTAGGTTTATGAGAGATTTATTGATTTCATGTTGATATTCATCATGGAGTGACACCAGTTAGAGAACCAATGAAAACCCGAGAGTATTGGAAAGCTGTTTCGTCCTAATATGGAACTCTTCAGCAGTGCGCGCCGATGACCCCGCTAGGGAATTGAACTCAGAAACTTCAGGTTTCGGGGCGAGTATGTTACGATTTAGCCACTGCCTAAGAATCCAATAGTCCACATTTAACTACTTCTGTCAATTTGTGGATATACCACAACCTTCATCCAATGCCACCATCGAGTATTTGTGCTCACATCGGACTTTGTTTTACGACGGTTTCACTAGAACTTCGGGGAATCTCATATCGAAGCAGTGCTTATTAGTGACTTGCAAAGTAACTGAAAAGTAACGTTCAGGCGGTTATTTAATCTATTTCTAGCTAAATTTACTTTTCATAGTCGTTTGTATGAAAAACCAACTGATTTCGTCTACTTTTTAGTTGGTGCTATTCGAGAAAAGTTAGTTATTGCCTTCATATAACACCGATCTACCATTTGATATTTCGTTTGTAAAATCCTGAACAACTTTTACTTTTACATTTCAATATCCTATTGACAGATGATGTTAGAACGATATTTTTGGCATGTTCATACGAAGTTGCTACAATGAATGATTATGATCCTGTCTCTCCTTGGTGCAGTTTACTGACACCATCTGATTTTCCAATTTGGGAATATTCAGCAGACTTAAAGGTAGTTTTTAAAGTAAATATGTACATGTTCTGTTGATGAAACTAAGATAAGCGTGGTTCGCCAGATTGTCGTTATTGGTACCGGACAATGATTGAAAGTGGAATGGAAAGCCGGCTCGTGACTGGAGTCAAACTAACGACCTCCAAGCTACTGGGCCGGGTATTCTGCCAACTGAGCTGCGGGACTCAGCTGCTCACCGGATCCTAACTTCAGTTTAACTACGGAGAGGTTCTGGTGGATGACTATGTGAATCAGTGGAACATAATTGTCCATTCATCGTAATCACACTAAGAATCCAGCCAGGTCTTTATGTGCCAATACGAATCGAGCTGGATTAGAGAAGGGGAGCACGTATTGACGGTTAGTGGAATTATATGAGATAACGATGGTTTGGCAGGCTTTCGTTATTGATACTAGGTGGTGACTAGAGGTAAAGCAACGAAGTGGTAAACTTGGTACCACTCTTCCGAATCCTGACACTACACAGCTTTTCATTCCACCTTTAATCATTACCCACTATAAATATATATTTACCTGACAGTTGTTTATGCAAAGAAATTATCTTGATGATGCCTTCCCGTTTATTTCAAATAAAATCATATTAATTGAGACGCTCATTCACACACCTATGTGGATGCCCCACTAAATAAACTGTAGTTCGTTAGCCCAAGCATTCAATTTTCAAATCACTGGTTTCAATTCCACCTTACCCTAAAAAGTATAAAAATTAGTGTGGTATTATCAACCCCTACACGATAAATGAGAATGATTGCCCAGTACGCGAAACTCTGTAGTCGCTGAATAGTACAAATCTCTTAGTATGAGCAAGGATGGATAAATTAAAGGATGGATATTATGGGACTGACGTGTGTGTAATGTATAAAACTGACTGAAGTAACTTTAAACCTCAACTGTGTAGACATTGAAACATAAAACTACTAATCGATTGTGTTTTTTGATGACGAAATAAGCTGTGAATTAAACACAGTTGTGATTAGTGTTACATATCTATAAACTGTTCATTGACTAACAAATAGTTGATTCTGGTTAATACGAAACTAATTAACTGGGTAGGGAATTATTATCAACGCTTTCAGGGTTGCAGTTCTATTCGTTATATCATAAATCAATTAATCTAACCGGCTGTCTTAATTATATCATTTTGTGTTTTCGATCGTTGAACTTTGATCAGTACTGACAACAGATTCATATGAATAAGAAAAGAAACTAGAAATATGTACTCAGACACATCAGTTTGGATTGAATTAAAATCAAATTGATTGTGAAGAGTGAACATCATAACAGCCATTTTGTAACCGTAGAAGATTTAAGGATTGTTTTTTTTACAGCTTAATTTAGTTGTTTTCAAAACCATTATTTATACTCTCTTGTGTTTAAAATGACACGTAATTTACAGTACTCGTTTAATAGGATTACATAAGTTAGAAAATTTCAATATTCTTGTCACCAAGTGACATAATTGAAAAGGAAGTAATGTTTGATTTCCAGCAGGGTTGTTGCACCTTATTGTTGTGACCGAGTAGGGTTGCGTGCCTAGGTATAATGATACTGGGACTCAATAGACACCTCAACCGAATACCTTTATGACTGACCTCCCTCAGTACCTTCTGCTTCACTGAGCTGCGTAAAATCAGAAAACAAAAGACGGCCTGTGACTGCAAGAACAACGACAAACTTTTGTTAGGCAAATACATGACATATATGTATTTACAAGACTCTCAGAAAGTGAGGCCATAAATAAACCAATCAGGTTCTCATGTCAGTGCATGCATAAATCATAATCTGATCATGACTTGAAAAGAACTCCCTTATTGGCTTCCTTTTTGTCGCTACGTATTACTTAAATCTTTCAGAATAAACCTCCAGGCTTTCCGATTGCTATTGATACATACTCTGTGTATATAAGCTATCACGTTAGGATTCAATAGTTAGCTTTTTACTACTTCAATGTATATGTAATGAAAATTAATAAAAAAATTCAGCGAAGAAAATTTTCTTTTTGACAAATCATTTTCAAAAGCTGTACATCATAGTCATGGTTACAACAATATATGTTCATCAATGGCAGATCGGTAAATAAAAGGTCACCGAAAACGGTGAATACGGTCACAAGGTGATAATGGCCAGAGGGTCAAATCAGGGTCAATAACAATTGCTTACATTATTTTAGTAAATAAATAAAGAAATAAACAGACTATCTTAGAGAGTTATTACAGAATTTAAAACAAATAGTCCCTTTTATGAATTTGGATAATGTAATTAGAAGACGTAGATTATCTGAAAAATGTGATGTATTAGCGCTATACATTTCGAACAATCTGATCACACATTTACTTGTTAAGGCACTATATATGAAAACTGGAAATGGGGGAAGGTTACATATAACATAAAGGAATTCAATAATATATATATATATATATATATATATATATATATATATATATATATATATTACAGAAGTTAAACTTGGGCACTGTGGTAGATTGTAATTCCATTTTAATGTGTTCATTAGAAAGATTAACGGAGAACGAGAGGGAAGTTTAGATACTAATGTCTATGGAGAACCTTCCCATACGAATCGTTACTCAGACTTCGAATCCTACCACCCCATCTCAGTTAAAGTAGGCTTAGTTAAATGCCTAGGTGATAGGGCGAATAAGCTTACTAGTAGGCCAACAAATATACGACAAGAAACTAGACATCAAGAATACCTTGCGTCTCAATAATTACCCACCAACATTTATAAATAAATTCACGGGAAATCGAAAGAAAAGTAGCAGTGGTAGTAGTAGTAATACAGGTGTTATTAGTAACAGTCCCACTACTAATGGTAATAATGGTGACAGGTTTGAGAGAGTATTCAAAGCCTCCACTGTGTTACCATACAAGGAAGGCTCCACAGAGGGATTACGAAGAATTCTCAATAAGGCTGTTGAGATTAAAGTGGCATTGGAAGTAATAAACTTGCTTAGAAACAAGGTTTGTAGGTGAAAAGATCCTATGGATGCAATTAAGCAGAATAATCTGGTTTACCGAATCCCTTGCAATGATTGTGAGGTCAAGTACATAGGTCAAAGCAGTGGACCAAGGTTGATTAGAATAACAGAGCAGAAAAACTTATCTAAATTAAGATTAGGAGATCCTAATAAGATAAATTTAGAAAGAAACTCGGTCATAGCTCTACACATATATACATACAATAGAGTGAGATAGAGCGACAGTATTAAAAACTTAGTTATGGGTGAAGGATAACCATTCTCGATTAAGACTTTCCGAAGTATTTCCAGCTGCTCATTTATTACGTCATCCGTACAAGTCCTTGCAATTCGTATGGATTGTGAGTAAATTAGATTCCTTTTCTTAACTACTGGAAGCCAACTTTGAAGATCAGTGTATTGACTATTCCAAGTTTTTCTTGAATTTGATCTCCTAAGGGAGCCATCCTGTGGAAAGTTGTCGTCTACAAGGTTAGCGTAGTTAGAATGGTAACAAGAAACTTACGCATCGTCACACTTTGGTGTTAGGTGGTTTAAAACAAGAAGTCATGGACCTAGGTTTCGCACTTGTAGGCATTCATCAGCAAGGTGTCTTTTCACCTGAAGGTACTTTTTGTCCGCTCATACATCCATACTTATGTCACCAAGTAATGCAGTCAGCGGTGTTGCCACTTAGCTATTAGAACCGCTATTGACCTACTGTATAATTTGATCATATACATACTGAAGGGTAACCAGTGCTGTCGTTTGACGTTAATTGCTTTTGATCAAATGAAATATTTATACACTTCCTGATGTTTCCTAACTACTATTGCTCCTAACTATATTTATCTCATGTTTCTAGCATTACTGGCTTAAGTCATATGGTTATGATTTGAATTATGTGCAATCATGTCCGTTGCTTGGTGAAATTTTAAAACAGATTACAGAAGTTGTTTATGATTTCATAGATGGAGGTTTTAATCAGTAAGTTCTTATTTGTCTTAACTTTGTTTTTTTCTCACCCTTTCTGAAAATATCATCAAATTAATTTCATATTTACTGAATCAGACAGGAAGAGTTCATTTCTAAAACAATAAGGAAGTTATTACGTGAGCAGAAATCTGAAAATACTTGTTGTTTGTTAAGTTTGATAGAGTGACAAAGAACTGGTATGCATTAGTGTCTACTTTGCGAATAAGGATACTATATTGACTACTGAAATCATTTACAGAGTTGCTACCAGCCTTGATGAATTCCTGGTTGACAAAATCTTCATATACACTAGCTTGGTTAATATTTGTTGATTCAGTTCACTTCTAATGTTCATGAGTGATCGCAAAACCTCTTGAAAGTCAAGTATATGGACTTGTGGCTCAGTAGTTTAGGGTGTGTTGACTTTCAACTTATGGGCCACGGGTTATAGCAGCGCTCCACCTACCGAAGTTTGGGCAGCCAGCTAGTAGAACCATTAGCCTTCATACAATAGGTAGGGTTCATTGCCTAATGCACCAAGGTTGCTGAATGGATTCTGATGTTTTCGAAAGTCAATTATACTGCTCAGGAAACCTCTGTTATTTACGATTATTAGAAGTGGACCTTGAGAATTCTCCAGGTATTCGGTCATCGGTATCTGTAAAGTCCTCTTCCTATGCCAAGGAATCATGTTTTACTCAAGTACGTCAGTAGACCCTCTTTGAATGTCTTAACTATGTATTTCGCGTCACACTTTACTACCTGTCTCAATGCGTGAATTTGGTTGCAATAAGAGGGAAGAAGCTAAGGTTTGCCGGAATTCCGCGGTACATTCGAAATACTCATACGACCTTATATTCATAGAACCTACATGGCAAGTCATATTGATTTTATGTTACTGGAATGTTCCCACAAAAGTGAAGAAATGAAATAGAATATGTGTGCTTAACTTCGAATTGGTGAATATAAAAGATACAACTAAGGGAGTTGTCAAGCCTTGGTTTCCTACTAACGGTAAAGATGATCTTCAGAGTCTGAAATAAACGTATGGCATATAAACTTGTTTCGGTCGCCAAAAACCGTAGGAATGCAGCTTCCAACTTTGCTCCACTGTCTTGTAGATTTTACTTCAAGTCAAAAACTAGGGGAATGGTTACCCAAGATCACCTTTTTCTGTCTAGACATCTGACCAATACCTTAACTTGTAGGATCGGAGTCTCGCCATGTCAGTGTAATGCTGGAAGCTCAAGTATTCACTTGTAGTAACAAGTATCTGATAAAACGATATCTTTTTCTTCGCTCCGATGGATTACAATGTGAATGGTGTCTACCGTCAACTAATGAAACTCCCCAACAAATTACACTCAAGAGATATCTGTTTGCTAGTTAGCGGATTTCAATATACAAGTTGCGTTTGGACTGAGGTAACAGTGTGTCGTGAAGCTCCAATATTTACTTCAATAACCCGTTTTATTTTAGCCATTAGCTTAAATTTACTGTTTTCTACCATTTTCTTATGTCATGGTCAGTTGATTGTTTTTCACCTACGAATTGACGTAGGTGATATATCGATATTTTGCTTCTTCGGTTAAGGTTAAAATTCCTGTGTTCACAAACACATGCTGTAAACTGCTTTTATCGTTTACTGAGACGGTAAAAGTTCTCGATGGTGATCAGTTTTCTTCTTTTATCAGCGTTCATCATTGGGTGTGTGTGTCTGTGTGTTGAAGTTGCTGGTATCTGAAGATGGAATTAGCAGCTTTAAGTTGGCTATCAAGGTGTATTTTTTTAATTAATAACGGAAGCTATGTAACACAGTTGTTATGCGATCAACTGGAATTAGTGAGCAATCAATCAGATATTATAGGACTATTTTCTTCAGGTTTGAACACATCATGAGTACACACCTTTCAGATATTACCCACGGTCTTCATGTCTCAAGTTACCGTTCAGCTGTGGGTTTTGAATTCAATGGTTTCTATTTCTAAACTCAACTTGTGCTGCTGTGCAACCGTTATCCAGTATCATATATAGGGAACTGTTCTCACCTTCAATTAGGTTAACCATACAAACCACCAGTGCTAAAATAAGATTTTAGGAAGTCTATTTTAAAGGTTATTTGTCATAGTTAAGAGTAATCAGTCCCATGAAAAGATATTGCTTTGTGTCGTTAATTTATAAATTGGCACCCTTTGTGTTGGGATAGTTTAAACGAAATATATTGTCGTCTCAACTGGATATGTACTTCAACGTAGCACTGTATTCTTCCATTTATCATACTGAAACTTTCTTCTCCACTTATCTAGGTCTAATCCATCATTGCACCGTGGAAGCTTTTGGTTTGGACATGCAGAGACAGTATTGCCTATAGTTGCTGCCTTAGGTATATTCAATGAGTCTGTTGGTCATTCCTCTCCGCACAAATTGACAGCAGATAATTTCAATGAAAGATTAAAAATGATTGAATCAGATGATCAATCACCAACAATGTTTCGTACAAGTTATGTGACCCCATTCGCTGGTAATATAGCCTTTATGGTGTATTATTGTCCTGATTTAGGTATGTTATCATATTTTTATTTTGCCGTTTATAATACGCATTACTGTATGATATAGTATTGTGTTCGAAGGTGAAATGGTCAATCGGATAACCCATATTTTTTTAATCATAATGTCAAATTCTCAAACTGCCTGGTTGCATGTATCTAAGCTGTTCGCGTAAAGATCAGTTTAGAGACTTTCAAGATGTGCGGCAAGAGTCATTTAGTCTCTTTCTTTACCTGCTGATTTAAGCAGCCTGGTTACTGATATTTGTACCATTGACACTACACGAAATTTTTGTTACTACGAAAACATCTAATTTTGTTGATGTTGTGTTGTTGTGTTCCCTGAGCTGGATAGTTTGATCGTTAAGCGTTCATTGTCATTTTTCAGAAATGAGAAAACTTTACCAATAGGTAGACTTAAGAAAACAACGAATCAATTCTTTCCCTATTAATCTCGAAATTCTTTCTTTCTTTCTGATATTTCTGTCTAGAATAGTGATGTCACATTAAAGAAACTAATTTAAGGGTGATCTAGCGAAAGAAGAAATGCCATGTGTTGAATTCTTTGCTCGTTAATGACTAGTTTTGAAACGAACTTGCTGAAAGTTAACCGAAAAGCCATAGTCCATAGTTTCAACCAAGTCTAGTGTGAGGACCATCCATCCATCCAAATCAACGTAGGACCAGTCATAACTGCGTAACGGTCTGAGTCGCCACACTTCATATCAGTACATCAAGTAAAAAGGCAGTGAGGTAGAAGATGAAGATAAGAAAATCCAGTCAAAAGAAATATAAAGTACTCAAATAGAGAGAGGGAGAATGAGAGAATGGTGAGATTCGGTATAGCATCGTTAAGATGAGGATAATGTGTTTGTATACATTTGTGCCACTGACATTGGTTCTGGGCCGTGTGATCATTTAGAGTCAGTCGCCAACCACTGGTTTCTCTTGTCTCGCGGACCCCAACTGACTAGTCTGCATCTCCCTACATGGTTCAAACCAACAGTCAACAACTTCATACATTGATGTCATGTTTTGGTCTGGCCACCTCGGTCTTTTTCCAGCTTGTACCTACTTCGGCCAACATTGTATGACAAGGCCCACGGCGACTAGGTATACGTAACACGCCTCCCAGCCTTCTCAAACGATGAAGGTTCACAACCGTGTCAACTGATTTACCTCTTCTCCCTAAAACTCTACACCTGACTTCTGTGTTACTAACGTGGTGACACCACGGAATACGGCGTATACTACTAAGGCGACGGTGATTAAACACCCGGAACCCACTTATAATATGGTATGATAATGGATACCTGGAACCAGTGGAAATTTAGAAATATGAACCATCATATTCCGAATCAATGGTTGGCGTGCTCCGTCATGAGCATAACTGCGTATAAAGTCATCTTTCGTCACCTCTCCAAAGTTTCATACTGTGAGAAGATAATTGTGCAGTGTTTCCTAGTTTTATTGGTTCTCCAGATGGTACCTGTTGGTGGTTAAAACTGATTTGGAACTGAAAAGAACGTTAAAGCTTACTAACTGGTCTTAAATTTCACTCACCATAGGAGAATATCCTCAACATGTTGATACTGTATAACTGAAATAGCCATCTATGACATCCCTACCATAGAACAGACTAGCCAACAAAAGATGACTTTTGAAATATGTGCTGTAGTTCTAGAATGTCAAAGGACTACGGCTTTTTGATTTCCTTATTGACTGTAAGTTGTTCGAAAATGTGATCTTTAACTGTTCTTATTTGGAAATTTTTTCAGAAATCCGATTGGTTGGATATAGACTTTCTGAGTAATTGCATATTTCTCTTGTTGCCAAGTGGTCAGTCGATTGATTGAACAATTCAGGTCAGAGAACACAACACCATCAAAACCATCTTCCTTACCTACAAATATTCGCCATCAATATGACATTACTCCTATTTAATAAAGTCTTCGTTCTTGTTCTATACACTTGTTCTGTGTATGCTTCTGAGAAGTGTGGCAACTTGAACTGATGCACTTCCGTACTAGTTTCCATGTTGATTTTTCTGTCTCTCCTCTCAAACTTCTCTTCTCTTCATGTATTGTATTCCAATTATTCCCCTACTTGTTATCTATCAAAAGACATTTATTAGATGAGAAACGATTTTAACTAAAACTCATGTAATCAGTCGCTAATCTCATTTTGTATAATCCTAAGTGCTAACCGAATCCTATCTGTTAAGTCTACAATTTTTCGATTGGAACGAAGAAAGATTTAAAAAGTAGTTTTTCTGGTTCATAAATTTACCAGTGTTTGTTAACCAAAATGGAGAGTAACAACCTGCTCATTTTAATGTGAATGTTTCTTTGTTTAAAAAATATGTTAATGCATTCATTATCTCTATTTTGAACAGTGTAGACTGATCATTAGTTGAGTGAATGCACTGAAACCAAGTCCGGAGTGAATCTGAATGCCCAGTAATGATAATGGATGACTGTCACACCATATCACAGATTGACAGAACTAGAAGAGAGTGGATCATTAGATTCCAACCCACTGTCAAACTTGATGGTCATTGACTTGATCCCCTGTGGAGTCATAGGTATGCTCTACTGAGTAATCCCAAAGTAGACTAAAATAGCTGTCTAGTGCTTCTAAGTTTCCCAGTGACAGACAGACACGGACAGATAAATACATAAAATCAATGTAAAACTTCGTATACAGGTGCGTCGGCTGAATTTGTCACACTTCACGGTCGTAAACAGTAAACAAGTAGATAGAATAAGAAGTGATACACCATCAAAGTGGACAAAGTTGGGTGACAATAAACAACTTGAAAATAACGGAAGGCGTCACAGAATGAATATATCTGCGCTATTGTGACCAATTTCCAGCCATGTCTCCAAGAGTCTTCAACCACTGATTTCTATCATCTCGGGGACCCTAACCAAGCGGTTTACATCTCCCCACATGGCTCAGACCAACAGTCAGGAACTTCACCGACTGGTAGCAGGTATTGGTCTGGCCACCCTGTGACCTCTTTCAACCTAGTCCAACTTCCCTTAGCATACGACGTCGTGGTAGGCGGTGGATCGGCATGCGCAGTGCATGTCTAAGCCATCTCAGTCGATGAAGGTTCACACTCTCATCAATCGACTTGGCTATCTTGCCTAGTACTGTTTGCCTGACCCTTAATGATTCTCCAAGTAAGTAGTGTCTATCTGTGATGAAAGTTACTCTGCCACTTAATTTGAACTAGTTTTTCTGTTCATGTAATCGAATAGGAATGCATGAGAAACTTTGTAACTTATGTTTTGAAGTGGTGAAAAAATTCCTCTTTTTGTTTAACTGCTTCTTATATCTAATGAGGCTAAAATGCAATGCTGAATAATCCATTAATGAAATCTGTGACTGTAGCATTGAGTGATCCCTGTTCTAGTCTGGGAAAACCTATATGAATCTTACAGGAAAGTGATAATACATTTTACTGATGATCGTCAGCAACCATGAAAGATGTGTACAGTTAACATACAACTTATGTTCCCTTCTTAACGTTCGAACTACTGTCACTCATCGTTACACTTAGGTGTTTAATAGTAAGCTATTCTAACTGCATCTAGCTTCTTGGATAATTGAATCAAGTACGCAGTTAAACTAACTGTCAGATGTATGTCCGGTAATACATGAAAACAGGCAATCTACCTTTTTCTATTTAACTGACAACTGACTCTTTCTTTTCTCATATTCCTATGGTTTCTTGTAGATGTAACCGAAAATTGGATAAATTTCGTATTGAAATACTAATTAATGAGAAAACAATCGCATGGCCATTAGCTAGTCTCATTCAACCACCTACATCAGATGAACCAGGTGAAACAAACGCTCCACTATCAATTGTATTAAAACATTTTAATAGTTGTATGCCTGATGTTTACGATAATAATAAAGTATGTTTGCTTAAAAAGGCATAAACTGGACTGTACAAGTTCTTCTTCTTAACATACACTAATTATGGAATTTAAAGTACATTCAACTGAAACAGCTAACAGAAGAAACTTATTATCCTTTTCTTTTTAATCACCTTTTTGTTTATTACTGTACTATTGTCTATTTACTTATTTATTTTTATAAGGAGATGAAACTGTTTTTGATGCTCTAGTATGTGTGGTTGTGTGTGTGTGTATATCCTTTTATTTAAATAGGTGCGATGCGACTAAAGATCTTGTAAGTAACAAATTCTACTAGGAACTGGTGATTTTATTCTCTCATCAACTATTTTGTTTCTACTTTCGATTCATTGATGCTTTTAAAAACCTTTATTTTGCAAAAAAAACTCCTTTCTCGTCAAGTGACCCTTCCACATTTTTTATTACCTTAATAATCCTCTAATTATCATCAGCTTAGATATTTTGTCCGTTTGACAGTGATTTTAAAACGTGAATATCCTTCGTTCTTTTTCGTTCGGAGTTAATTTAGTTATCTTATTCAAACTATTATTCAACACTTTTACGAGATTGTATTTCTGATTATATGAGTTACCGTTTTCGACTTGTACGGGTACCGGAAAGCCAAACATACTGGTATTGCTGTGTGTGTATCTGAAATGCTACGAACCTATCAGTTAGCTGAAGTTTTCTTTTATGATTTGGGATTTTTGTTTCTGAATTGAGGATCGTGAAAGTGATCATCTTCTTCGTAAAATGAGTGGTAATTGGGTCAGAGTTCAACAAAAAGTGTCCAATTATTCACATCATCTTAGGTTGTAAATCTGCACCACCCAGTGGTCATATCTTAGACTTTACCATGAAGCTGTTCACTCTTTGAATGATCTATGATATAACTGAACTAATTGGAACTTAGAAGAAAGAGTTTGAAGTGAATATCTATTTTCGGTAAATTCTCGTAAGGCTTTACATTTATATTTATAAATTATTCAGCATAGTCACTTGATACCAACATGATTAGATTTTTTTCGGGTGTATGAATTAGAAGATAAGATTGACAAAACCTCACCATTTACTACTATTTACAAAGTTTCATCACAATACTCTAAGTTTATGCACCTCCGACTGCTAAGCATAGCAGAAGCCATATCATTTAAAATTTTAAAACTTAATTTATACATTCGGAAAGACATTTGTTTGTTCCCTTTTCCTCTTATGGTCTTCAACTTCAATCCAGATACAATTACAGTAATTTTCTTCTCGGTCACCTGGATAAATGTAAATATTATCTCTGTTTATACTCTTACCATGATCATTTTTATTTTTCGCCCTTAGTTTCATGACTGATTAAGAATTTTATCATGTAATCGCTATGAGACATTGATTTTATTTCCCTCTATCCCGGTACACGCACAATTCACTCATACACCTACAAAGATTGACTACTGAGTATATATGATCTTTTCGAGAATTTGTTGTTTTATTATCACCTTTACTATTATCTCCTTCTAATTGATATCCCCGAATTAATCTAATCATGTTGGTATCAAATGTAGACTATGCTGAGTAATTTGTAAATGTAAACCCTGATGAAAATTGACCGAAAATATGTATTCCCTTCAAAGTCTGTCTTCTAATTATCACAATGGGAATAATTAAATAATTGGAACTTCTAGAGGAAACTTGAATTTACTGAAGAATAGAATTTTTACTAGTGGATGAGCAACCACAGTCGCCAAACCCATATCTTTGGTTTCCTGTTGACCTCTAACATGCAGAACTAGACACAATGTTTCTAATGTTTACTATCCGTCTAATAGAAAATCTAGTTTAATAATTGAGGAATCATACTAAAAGGACTGTAGTTAAGTAATTCAGAAAATTTGAGTAAAGCAGTAAAATACAAGATGTACATTGCGCTTACTGCAAAAATTAATTCATATTTCCTTACAAGAAATAAATAAATAGTAATGCATACATTAACTTTTCCACGAATGATGGGCAATTCAGAGCCTCTATAGTGTTGTCATATCACAATGAAAGGAAATCTGTGAGTGAAGTTTTTAACAAAACTGTGATTAGAGGGGCATACTCATAGAGAGATTCATTTAGATATTAACTATATTGGCTCACCACGACTTGATTAGACAAAGTGATTTCGTTTACTAAATATAAAGTGACTGTGATGTAATCATTGTAAATGAAAACAGCGGATAAGTATCAAGTTATGGGATCGTATGCTATGAAACGCAGAGTCTATCAAGATAGACAGAAATCCAGCCATCACTAATGTGTTAACTGACACAATCACACAGTAGGTTGGTATAGGTTTGAATAAATATAAGGGGAAGGTCGATTATTGAAGCTTATCCCATCGATATGCCTGTAATACTTGCGATAGGAACAAATCACCATCAATCCTATGAATATGAAAAATTCTTCTACCATCGCAATAAACAGTAAGATTTGATAGGAATAAAGAAACCAAGTGTTGAAGCTTGTATAACCACCTTAAAACGATTCTGTGCAATAAAGTATCTGAGATATCGTCCAGTAAACTGTATTGCATCAATGGGTCCCACACCGTGTAGAATTACTTAATATATAATAGTACTCGTATTCAGGAAAGGAGACAAAATTTGATGAGATACCTAAGCTAGAAGCCTGTTGGCTTTAAGGATCTCTTTCTGTCTTTAAGATGTACCTAGAGGTAAAACAATACAGTGAAGCTATAGCTGGTTAACTAGGAAGGACAGCTTCCATCCAGGGAGTCATACACTTGAATCCCATTTCATCGAGAGAAGTTTGGGTAGATAGGTTAGTGCACTCGGTTGTCAAGTTGTATTGTTTATTGCACAATTTAATCATAAATTCACTAATTCCTGTAAATATTTACATTATTCACGTATGAAGTATGTGTAACGAGTCAAATTTTTTATAATCCATCCAACAGCTTATTTTATTTCTTAGTTGATTGAATAACAAGGTGTATACGCATCAATACGTTCAGTTATTGAATAACTACAAATTAACCTGTCTGTCTAACTGAAATCGATTCCTTATCATTTCAAACAGTTTTGTTTGAAGACAAATAAAGACTTGGAAATCAACAGGATTCCAACCAGTGATCTTCAAATTAATTACACTACATTCTACCAGCAGAGCAAGAACTCTTAACTGGTAACCGAGTCTCAGTGTCACTTTAACCACCAAGGATTCCGGTAAGATACTAAGAACCGGGATATTCTATCCAAAAGACATACCTAAGCTGTAAACTATCACCTGATAAGTATAAGTAACAATATGTGACTTTTGCTGTATGTTTGTGTCATCATGTCATCCACTGTTGTTCCATGGTTTTGCGGAAACAACACAGAATCGAGCACAGTACTTTATCAAGCAGTATTATTAAAAATCACAAAGTATGCAAACAATAGAAATCATACGAAAGACGTACACCAGGTGGTCTAAAATCATGATACCTGTTTTGTATCTCAAATAACGAAGCTTTTTTCGTCACTAAGTAACCTAGTGAATAAAGCTGTGGTGTTTGAACTGATGGGATATTAGGTTTAAGTATCACTGAAAATGCCAGCAGTTTCTTGGACACAGCTATGTTCGACCGCTGATTCACATTTGAAATTAAGCCTACACCCAAATTGCCACCAAAAGAACAAATAACACCAGGAGAAGATTGATTGTTATATCAAACTGTTCAGATAAAATGTTTAGTAGTCAACACCAATAGGTCGATTAGCTAACTTGAAGGAAAAGACATTTCAAGGTTCAAATAACGGGTAACACAGTTACTTTTACTCAGAAAAGACACATAGTACGAAGGTGTACAAGTTGTTGTGCACTTAAAAAACGAGTGACACGAGAAAATTATTTCTCCATTATCTATAACTGCTAACAGTATTTAAAAAGACAAGAAGTATATCTACCAAAACAGAAATGTGGTCGGAAGGTCAATAAGTACTATAAAACTGTTCAAAATAGAATTACTTGAATATAATGTTGTTTGGTCCAGTTCACTGTATATTTAGACTCTACAAGACGATTTAAAGGATAGAAGGATGTAATGACGACAGAATTTGAAACATATTACTGTGGAATAGATTTCTAACGCTGTCGAAAATAGAAGGCTAGTTTCCTGCAAAGTTTTCACCTTGAGACAAACTGCAAATACTGGTCTTAAGCAGAAAAAGAAACAAGAAGAACACACCAAGAGCTGGTCAACGTATATTCCGATGCAAGTGACACTCAGGTTATGAAAGTTTTAATCATAGGAAATCGGGGATAACAGATAAATTATCTCTGATTCTTGTATACGCTAAAGAAAGTTACATAATGTGGAAAATAAGATGAAAAAATATAATTTTTGACTTAGGGATTTGTATGGTCTTTGCAAAGCACATGAAGCATACTACTTTCTTGATAGACTACTTAACAGACCCTGACTGTATCATAGCTACAAGAACGAAATTGAGAAAGCCTATCGTTTGAGGCTTTTTGTGTTTCCAACCTCACTACATGTATAAAGTGAACGAGCATCTAGAAACAGGACCATATGAGGAAATTAAAAAGTCAGGTCAAGAAATCTACAGGGGATTGGATGGAGCCATTTCTAGGTGAGTCAAAGTGGTTTAATTTAATGCCGAGAATTAATAATCTTAGTAGAATGTATGGTACTATTAAGATTCATAAGCCAGGTTATCCCATCAGGCCTATAGTAGATTTTAGAAACACTCCGACCTACGAGTTATCTAAATATTTAGCAGTGGTGTTGGGCCCAATAAGAAATCACTTAAAGTCTCGACTAACCAACTGTTATGACTTAAAACATAGATTAGAAGACAGTAAAAAAAATGGTTAGCTTTGACATAACTAGAATTTACACAATATACCAATTGACATGTCTCTGGAGGCAGTTAGAAATGGGCTTAAAGATGACAAAGGATTTACGCATTGAACTAAAGTGCTGATCGAGGAAATCATACTAGGAGTACGATTGTGCCTAAAATCTACAGTTTTTAAGTTTCAAAATAAAATATATAAACGAACTGGTGTTGCAATGGGATCACCAATATCCCCTATCGTCGCAGACATATTTATGGATAGTTGGGAACAGGTGGTCCTTCAAACCTTTAGTCCTGCTCCAAGGATATGGTTTCGATACGTAGATGATATGTTTACAGCACTGAAATCGGAACACATCAATGGATTCTCGGTACATATAAATTAAGCAGTAAATGCAATCCAATTTACCTGAGACTTAGAAAGTGAAGAAGGTGAGCTAGCAATGTTGGATTGCAAGATTAAACGAATACAAGAAGGAAATTTAGAGACCAATGTTTATAGGAAACCTACCCATTCGAATCGCTACTCAGACTTCGAATCCTACCACCTCATTTCAGTTAAAGTAGGCCTATTTAAATGCTTAAGTGACAGAGCGAAAAAGCTTACCAGTAGACCGGAAAATCTTCGACGAGAAATTAGACACTTCTAGAATACCTTGCGTCTCAATAATTACCCACCAACATTTATAAATAAATTCACGGGAAATCGAAAGAAAAGTAGCAGTGGTAGTAGTAGTAATACAGGTGTTATTAGTAACAGTCCCACTACTAATGGTAATAATGGTGACAGGTTTGAGAGAGTATTCAAAGCCTCCACTGTGTTACCATACAAGGAAGGCTCCACAGAGGGATTACGAAGAATTCTCAATAAGGCTGTTGAGATTAAAGTGGCATTGAAGTAATAAACTTGCTTAGAAACAAGGTTTGTAGGTTAAAAGATCCTATGGATGCAATTAAGCAGAATAACCTGGTTTACCGAATCCCTTGCAATGATTGCGAGGTCAAGTACATAGGTCAAAGCAGTGGACCAAGGTTGATTAGAATAACAGAGCAGAAAAACTTATCTAAATTAAGATTAGGAGATCCTAATAAGATAAGAAATCTAGAGATAAGCTCTGCTATAGCTCTGCATGCAATGACACGCAATCACACAGTAGGGTGGAATGGGCCGACAGTGTTGAAAACTTAGTTGGGAAGGAGAGATTGATAACCGAATCTTTGTTTGCTTATCGAATCAACACCAAACACATGCAATCGAAACGATTCTGCACCTGTCCCAGATATATATGGATATATAGAGAAGGAGAAAATTAGGAATATATAAAGTCTGTCTCGAAGTTGTGGAGTTACCTGATATGAATATGGACAATAAATTGTGTCCGAACCGTTATCCAGTAAATGATACTGTTCCTTCACTTTGTGATATTTCTAATAAACAGACTAAAATTTAATTACAATCGACCACAGTGCCCAAGTTTTACCCTTATATTAATTTCCAAGCTAGTTTTGTTAGTTGATCTTAAATGCATAGGATTTCATTCACTGAAGCCTTTGAGATGTTTATCTATGGTTGTGTTACAAATTTATCTTTTTTTTCTTGAACAGCTAATAATTTGTGTAAAATAGAAAATAAAAACCTACTAAGTAATGAAAAATTTGTAAGTCACTAAATTGAAAGAAAAGACTTTTCACTTCAATGTGGCATAAAATTCAAAATCTATGAATAGACGATGACGATGATTATGTCTAATGTCTTGTCGCA